ATTTATAGCCTTGGAAACCCACTGGGGGTCACTGAGAGTTGGAATAGACTTGATGACAATGAGTTTGGTTGGTTTGCTGCTTATATTATAGATGTTACCTTTGTAAGTTTTTATTTCTTCAGATACACCCACTATAATATAGGTATTATACATAAATTCATACATATTTGCAAATACTTCCTTTAATTGGATGCAAAAAATGTTTATTTTTATTTAAATATATCTTAATTGATTATATAATATAAATTTAGTTCTTTCTAATTTAACTCTTAATAAAATTGTTCATCTGATTATTTTCATTTAACCATTGTCTGAATTATATTTACAAAGATTTTCATTTTTCATAGCTTTCAACCATTCTATAAATAAAATCTTTATACTAAATTTTTTGTAAATGTGTGAGAATGAAGAAATAAAATTTCTAGATCAAAATGTCATTTCTTATTTATAAATTTTGTGTACCATAAGGATAAGATGGGTTTATCAAAGATTTTCCACTGTAAATAATTCAATAGTGAATAATAATTTTATTTTTAAGTCTACTCAGATTTTGTTGTTGTAAATGTGTTAAGTATGTATTTTGAGAATATAAGTCTTTAAAAATGTCATTGATGATTTTTGGCATAGGATTAACACTTTTATATAATCAAATCTATCAAATTTTAAAGAACATTATTTTCCTTTACTTAGCTGAGAGCAAGACAAGTCTTTTGATTGAGTCTTTGATGGCCTTCTTAACTTGATTGTTCCTCAGGGTATAAATAAATGGATTCAAAGCAGGTGAAACAGAAGAAATAAGCAATGAAACCATTTTATTAACAGTCACTTCTTCCTTAGCTGTGGGATTCATGTAGATGAAAATGCACGTGCCATAGGTGATGGAAACCACAATCATGTGGGAAGAACAGGTTGAAAAGGCCTTTTTCCTTTGCTGCGCAGATGGGAATCGAAATATTGTCCTGATGATACTACCGTATGACAGAATGACACAAGTAAGAGTCACATTTAGTGTCAGCACAGCACAGATGATAACTGTCTGTTCCATAAACCATGTGTCTGAGCAGGAGATTTTCACAAGGGGAAATGCATCACAGGTAAAATGGTCAACTATGATAGAGTCACAGAATTCCAGATTTAAACCCAGGCTTAGGGGTGGGATTATTACACATAAGCCAGCCATCCAGCTAGAGATAATGAGAATCCTGCAGACCCTGCTGCTCATGATGGTCACATAATGCAAGGGTTTGCAGATGGCCACATAACGGTCATAGGACATGGCAGCCAGGAGAAAAAACTCTGTTACTCCACAGAGGTCAAGAAAAAACACTTGGGTAACACAAGCATTATAGGTAATGACCTTGT